CGTGCGGGACCCTGGGTCGAACATCGTGATCCCCGCGCACGAGCACGAGATCTTGTCCTGCGACTGGAACAAGTATGACGAGTGCATCCTTGCTACGGCCTCGGTGGATAAGCTGATCAGGGTCTGGGACGTGAGGGCCACGAGGGCGCCCGTGGCCCAGCTGGCGGGGCACGGGTATGCGGTGAGGAAGGTGAAGTTCTCGCCGCACTTGGAGAATGTGTTGGTCTCGTGTAGCTATGATATGACGGTCTGCGTCTGGGATTACCGGGCGGAGGATGCGTTGATGGGGAGGTACGATCAGCATACGGAGTTTGTGGTGGGGGTGGATATGAGTGTGCTGGTGGAGGGGTTGATGGCAAGTGCCGGGTGGGACGAGATGGTTTATGTCTGGCAGCACGGGACGGACCCGAGGGCCATGCCTTGATTGTGAGTTCAGGTCCAGGTATGTTTGGTGATATTTTTGTTACAGTAGAAGTTGGGTACTTGCTATTATTGTCCTTTATAAGTTTAATTTTCTATGGAAAAATCTTCGTTGTTTCTAGGAGGCTAGGAGCGTTACGGCTATGCTAGCATCTTTGTTCAGTTTTCCGCAACTATAACTGCAGTGCAAGTGTCTGTTGCATGAAGCTGTTGCTTGAACCGCGGTCACGTGCATTTGTAGTTGCAGTTGTATAATTCAGCTATACAATTTTGCATTTGGTGTTTGTAGTTGCCGTTTTAGATGTTTGTTTTGTGGCATCAGGACTTTTGTTGGGGTTTGGTTGCAATTGGAGTTGCAACTTAAACCCTAATTTCATATTAAAATAAGGTTACAGCGTTGACTTATGTGCAGATCCACATAACTTGTTGGCCGCAACAAGAGCTTTTTGCTACTAGAGTTGCCACTGTATTTATTAGTTGTAATGAAATGAAAAACAGCAACAAAAGCTTTTCTCTACTTAAACTGCATCAGTTGTTTGGAAAGGTTTCAAGGTTTTACTTGCTTGGACTTTGAGTAAACTAAGGACAAGTTTACGTTTTGAAGGAGTTCATTTTTGTCAAACTTCGTATATGAGACTATAACACTAAAATTGGAAGTCGCAAGAGTAACATATGAAGTTAGCATTGTATATTCAGAGGTGTGGGAGTTCGTTTACATAGTATTCCCACAAGCTAGCTCTGTCGTATCAAGGCTAAAACAGTCCTGATCACGATTAGTATTAGGGCTAAGTTAGTCGGTGGTGGAGTCGGCTTGCGATAGGGAAACCTCTCCCCTGGCTCCCTGGTGTATATCCCCGCTTGGCGGAACTGTAAGAAACAGCTCACTCCTTGATACTACTTCTTATTCTACAATAAAATAATTGTAGACATCTGTAGTAAAAAGCTGCTACAATACTATATGCTTAGTTTATAAAAACTTTAATTTTAAGCATTTTACTATTTAAGCTTCATTGCTTACATTGAGTTTTAATTCTTTGACATTTCTAGTATGATCTAGAGATTAGCATATTCTAGTACTTTTTCTTAGTTCTCTCTTTACTTGCTGTAGTTGCGACTTACATAACTTTGTTCTGTGTTTATCCGGTGTTGTTGACTTGTGAGGATCTTGCGAACTTTTTAGAGTTACTACTATTTGCTTAATATCTAGCTTATTTACTTTGCCTCCTTTTTAAGTCTTTATTTCCTTAACTAGTGGTCGCAGTTTACACGGTTTTCTCCCGTTAGCTAAGTGCGTCTAGGGCTCTTTCGTTCGTGTTTATCCCTTGCTGTTGACAGGTTAAGTTTTAAAGTCTTTCTTAAGATGCCTAAGTTTCTAAGCTATCTTTCTCCTGATAAAAAGAATCCCTGTGTAAAAACCATGTCGGTTAAAAACTCATAATCCCTAAATTATGAGATTATTGATCAAAGCATTCAGAATTGGAAAATGCCTAAAGTTAGCACTAATGATATTTATTGTAAAAAAGTTTTAAACTAAAAATGACATATCATGTGAAGACTATTGAAAAAACAAAAACTGTAACTTCTCACACAGAAAAATTATAATTACTCAGCGATAAAGATATCCAAAGAATTACTGAAGATCCTACTCTTAAATTCCTTCATCTTGGCCTTGTTCAAGTTTCTATTAGACCTCTTACCAGAAGTGACTTTAACACCTCTGTTCTTATTTGCTTACGAGATGGAAGAATTTCTGTTTTTTCAGACTCTTTAATTGGTCTAATTGAGTCTAGTTTAAGCAATGGTCCTATATTCTTTAATGTTTTTCCAAACTTCTCAGTTTCTTTATCAAACCCTGGAATTCTAAAAGTCTTAACCTTAAATCTTCAAACATCTGGATTTAATATGGATTTTAATTCTGAGAATATATCTTTAACTTAAAGAATCTGCTATAAAGCCATGAATACACTAACACCTCTAGCAAAGGTTAACCCTGAGAAGGAGCAACTACTTTGTTTCTTACTCATGCTAAAAATAATTTAATAGTTCCAAAGACTTTAAAATGGAATGAAATTCAACTGCCTTCAGTTTGGAAATTAAGTCAAGTCGTTGAACCTTTATCCCCTGAAAATTTTAATTTTTAAAAAATAATTGAACATCCTAATGGTGACGTAGAAGTTAACTTTTCTTCGTTTAGAAAAATTACTCTTGAAATCAATGACGAACGACGTGCCTCAATTTCTTCAATTCCGACCCGAGAAAAAAGAACGTAATTAACTAAGTATCTTGAAATGACCAAAAACAAAGGGAAAAATTTAGTAAAAGCTATTGAAGAAAAGAAAGATAACGAGTACTATACTTTCTCTGAAATCGTAAATAGAATTCAAAATGAAAAGAAGTTTGAAAGTAAAGTAAACATTGAAGGACTTCAAAAAGAACAAGGAAATATAAAAATAGAACTTTTTGAACTTAAACAAAAAATAAAAAATTTAGAAACTTACTTAGAAAATAAAATCATGGACGAATTTGAAGGTTTCAAAGAAATAAAAACCTTTGAACATGAACAAGTTTCTAATGATAATGAATTTATAAATGCTATAAAAAATTATGTTGAGAAAAAATGGAGATGTAATATCATGCTTAACATTATGGACGAATACTCTGTCCAACACATAGCTTTAATCAATACTGGAGCAGATGTAAATTGCATTAGAGACGATCTTGTTCCTTGAGATTTTATAAGAAAACATCTCATCTGGTTAGCGCTGCTAATGTTCAGGCTCTCAAAGCCCTATATAAACTTACCAATGCTTATATTTGCAATGGAGGTCTAAACATTAAAACTTCTATTCAAAGACCTCAAACAAAGTATTATTTTGGGAACCCTTTTTATCAATAATCTTAAGCCTTTTATTATAGATACTCATGGTATCCATACAAAGGCCAGTGACCCCAATGTCTCTTTTTAGTTTAATAAAGAACTAGAAGACATTAGTTAATCTCTTTTCTTTGCCTTACATTTTAAAGAAAAATTTATAAACATTCTTTCTAATACAAAAAATAGGGATAAAGTTTGTCTAGACTCTTTCAACATGAAAATTCTTAATAATAAAAGGCATATTCGTCTTTCATACATCAAAGAGTTCTCTTGTATTTCTTTTGACAATAGACATTTTGACAGAATGAACGAAACTCTTCTGACCTTTTGCAAAGAAGAAATTGAATGACTTATCAAAGATAATCTAATAAAAACTGGCTATAATACATGTTGTTTAGACTCTGACAATTATTCTGAACATGAAGTCGCTAGTCAAATTATTGATTATAAGAGATCAAATAATTTGGTTTGGGTTAATTATCAAGTGGCAGAATATCAAATTGATAATATTATACATGGAAAGATATTCACAAAAATTTACATAAAAATGGGTTTCTGGCAAATGCAAATCTTAGAAGAAAATCAAAGGAAAACTGTTCTCATCCTCCCTTTCTCTTTCTATACTTGGAGACGAAGGCCGTCAAGCTATACTTATTACTTTCAATAAGAATATCTAAAGTTCTTAAAACAATATCTTCATGAATGTCGAGAATTTCTCATCTTACTGCCCACAATAATAATTCTTTTTTCAAATAATTTTGAAGAACATTGGAAACAACTAGAAATATTTCTTCGCTATTTTAATAAAATATTAAACTCAAATACATATTTTTGAACATTTTGCAGGAAGAAGATGACTCATCAAGCTTTAATCTCACAAGTTAAAGGAAAATCTATTTGCTCAACTCCAGCATGTCCCTTAAAAAGGTCAAAATAATTTTATGACCCAGGACTACAATGTTCTGGAATAGTATCTGCGCTCAAGAGAAAAAGCAAATTAGAGTTCATTTGACTCATCTAGTCCATCTCTTAAAAGAAAATGATGAACAATTTATTAAACAGAATAATCAGCTAAAAGAAAGATTTATAGATCTTTCATATGAGATTAATTATCTCTATCCTTATTTCAACAAAGTCGCATTAACATCTCATGAGATGTTTCAAATCCTTGGAATATCAGAATATATCCAGCAAAATATTTACAGAGAACGTCTTAACAGAGCAATTATGGTCCAAACTAAATATTTTTCCTCAAGATATTCAAAATATTATTAAGGCAAAAGTTGAAGATGACAATATCATTTTTCTTCTAAACAATTACATTGAATTTACACTTCTTACAATATGTAACTCTTCCAGATTCGTGATAAATATTCATGACATTCCTCTTTATGTCCTACATATAGACGCGTGACTTGTCTGTGAATTAAGAATTTCAAGAGAACCTCAATTCTTCTACAATCCAATGCGATTTAAAGGTCTGCAAGGCATTATCAAGATAACCATCTTTCTATCTCTAGTAAGTTTGACACATCTTCAATGTAATATTACAGCTACCTTATATGAAAGAAGCAATTTTGAATATTTTTTAATCTTACAAAGTTGGAAAATTTCTACAATCACCGGACTCCATACTCATAAATGGTTTCATGAAGAAAATAATGATTTAGGGTTGGATTGCTTTCAAAGCACCAACTGATTCTATAAAAAACTTGAGTATTTACTTGAATATTATTCTTATTATATGACCGATGGACTTCAAATTATCTACAATAACATTAATATGAGCGAAACTTCTCACACCAGAGCAGCCAAAATAGTCATTGATCAATGGATGACTAATCTACCGATTGGCCCAGAAGCAAGAGAAGCTTATGATGTTTTCATAGTAGCAAAACAATACCAAGAGAATGACTTTAGTCAAGAAGAACTCCACTCTTCGAATGATATATCAATCGATAGTGATCTGGCAGAAGAAATAACACATACATGAGACTATATGTGATATGCCATTAACTTATGGGAAATCCCGCATATGATTTATCTCAACGACTTAAACACCAAGTCGATCAACTCTTATCAATATCTTTTTCTAATTTAAAACAATTAACTCTTATGTAAATTTTATTCACAGCTAAAAGCAGCAA